AGGTACGGCGCGGTTCGTCCAGTTCAATGCTCTGGAAGCGAAGTGCATGGAGCGGTGCGTGAGGCGAAGTCTTGTGTTCGGATAAGGGGGGCCCCGAACTGTCATAGGACGAGCCAGTTCGGGTCTCTGCTTTGTGCGACTCGGGGCCAAAGGGAGAGTTCGGGTTCCTCGTAGGGAGTTCGGGCACCTTGCAGGGAGTTCGGGCTCCTTGTAGGGAGTTCGACCACTAAGTGGGGAGTTCGGGCACTCTCTAGGGAGTTCGGGCCGTTGGTCTCTTCCCTTTGGCGTTTGTACCCTCGATACGCTGTTTTAAGTGCCGAACTATTTGCTTTTTTGCCACGTGGCATGATTTGCGAGGTCGGGCCAAATCTTCCTTCATCAATTGCCTATAAAGGAGTTTTTACATGTGCTTGCATCCATCATCTATTGAACTCCCTCGCAAGTGGCAACCCCCCAATGAAACTCAAACACACACCAACAATGAAAATAAATGAAGTGAACGAAACTGCTTTCTATTACCTTGGCTGATGTGTCTATGTTTCATGGATGGTCGCAAAAAAATGATACAATTCAATGCTTTAAAATGAACCCATAAAATAGAACCGCTTTGCCCACTAGTTTTCAAGCCATGATATAATATGCATCTTATATCATGGCCTTTGGATTAGAATATTAAAGTTAGATGAGATGATTCAATATGTATATTATTAGAGGAGATAAGAGAGTAAGAACGGGAGATAAGAAAGAAAGAAAGAAGAGGAGGCAACAACGATGATGATAGTGATGGTTAAGGGTGTCAATGGACTGGTTTTGGATTGGACCCCATCCAGTCCAAAATCAAATTGGACGGATTGAACGGACCAACAAGACATATTGGATTGGACCTGGTCTGTTCGTAACAAATTTATATCGGACTGGATTGGATTATGCCAATATCTGGTCCACTGATATAAGATAAGATTATGTGTCAATGGATCGGGTTTGGGTAATCTAAATCAAAATGAATTTGAAATGGTCCATACATTAAATTGGACTGATCTAAATTGGTCCAAAATATTGATTGGATCGGATTGGACCTGGTCCATTATAATGGACTCACATTGGATTGGATTGGATTGGACCAAATCTAGTCCAATTGACACCCCTAGTGATGGTGATGGGCAGTGCGGCGGTAGTTGCTTCCCCCTTTCCTCTCACCAACTGATGTTGTCCAATCCGAGGTGTTCAGAATTGAGGATACAATTAGATAGTCCTGCCAATTAAACGGGGTTGAGGTGGAAGGATGAAGCTGTACACCGAGATCTACAACTAGGATAAATGTTAGAGGCTTGTAGAGTTGTTCCCCAAGTAGGTACTACGACGTTCAAGTTAGTATGATTGAGAAGGATGTGCCTGAGGCGAGCAGGTTGAAATTGCGTTGGTCCAGGTCAAAGATATAGTGCAAAGGGTTATTGAAAAAGTGCAGTTCCAAAAAAAGTCCTTACCTCGAGTGGGGAATAACTATTTATAGTTGGGTGTTCGTGTCTCATATGGATAAGGCTGATAGGATTGTCGAGATGAGGGCATCCATCAAAGTCTTCAAGAGGTTTCCTCTTTCCTGGCATAGTTCACTTCCTTATTCTTAGTCGTGCTCTTCCGTTACACGTGGTGCCAACATGATTTGAGGAGGAGGCAAATGAGGAGCAAATATAGCCATATGGCATCCTTGACCAACTCAACCATCACCCGAACACCAACCTATCAATTCCTTTTTCTTTCCCCATTAACCAGTCAATCCTCCAATTTTTTGCTATTTTAATTCTTAAAACAATTTTCTCTTTTTTTATTATGGAACCATGAACCGCTGCCTATATCGTAAATTTAGAGGTTCAACCATTTGGCTCAGCGGTTCATTCAATATTTCAGCGTTTTTTTGGAAAAGACTGAACAAAGTATAAAATAAAACCAGACAAGTAACCAATTCCCAAGTCAAAAGGTTTGACCACCCGGATCAATACTTGTTTTAAAACCATGATACCCATGGCCATGAGGGCAGCAGATATGCATGCACTAACTTTACCCTTGAAGGTGGGATCTGATCACACTTTGAAAAATATTTCTATCAAAGCCGCTACTTTATTAATTTGTTTAATTTCGAATCACATGATTCTGTTTCATTATTATAAATTACAGAGTTTAATTAAAAATGTTTATGAGAAATGTAATTATGTTGTAGATGAATGAATTGACGGTTGGAGAATCTAGTAATTTATCAGAATTATTATCTGATAAATTTTTATATCAAATAGTAGTGTAAGAGCACGTGTGCAATGAAGTGTATTTGGATTTTACTTTTATAATAATAATAATCATTGTAGATAAATAAATAAGTATAGATGTTCTCAGGTTCAAACCAGATCACATGGATGAGCCATTCAAACCAGGAATTGGAGTTAAAACCATTTTTAAATTACCTTGTCATTAATAAAATTTTAACTTGGATCAAATCTATCCAAAAGACAAGTGTTTTTAGGCTCAGTTTGGAAGTAGTTTAAATACAAATATGTAGAGTGCAAAACCTTCTATTTTGTATTTCCCATTTGTACATATTTAATGGTAGAATGTAAAACCAGTGTGATGTGAGGAGAAATGGGAAGCTCTCTCTCTCTCTCCTCTATTTAATAGTAGTGTATCATAATAGKCATCCTCTCTTAATGGGAATGTGGGTTTGTGAGATGGGAAATCCCCCCCATCTTTCTCATAATCAGCAAGAAATCCCCAAATTATCGTATGAATATATTCAGATGTTCAGATTTTGCCACCATTGAGAGAGAGAGTGAGAGAGAAAGATTAGCATAACAAAATAACCAAAATTGATTAACCAAGTAAAAACAATCAAACAATAATTATTAATAAAATAATGACATTATCAAATATTTAGTAAATGGAATAACTAGATAAAAGGACTAGAAAAAAAGTAAAAAGTGAATTAAGTTGAATATGGGTATTTAAATTATAAGAAAATGATTGAATAATTAATGAAATGGTAAAATAATAAAACATGAATAAAAATTGTATACATTGATTAAAAACTAATAAATTAATAAAAGAAAATTGATTAAAAATTTACAAAATAATTAATTAATGAAAAATATTAAATAATTAATAAAATAGATATGAGCCTAACTTATGAAAGATAATTCATTATAAAGACTTCATATGGAGTGGACCCCATTTTTAGATGAAATATGTTGTTGATTACAAATTAAACCTGATTTAACTTTTTAAATGAAATAAGAAACATAAATCCGATTTAATATATAAGCAAAAGTTGTGAATTATAAAATATGGTAAGTCTCAAATAAAAAACCTAACCCAAATTAAATTTATAATATCGCGATGATATTTCTACTTTTCTAGTTATTAATAAAGCATAAAGAGGAAATTTGTCGTATCTTACCAAATCCATATATGTATATGGAGGGGGAACCAGTGATGGGTTTGAATGCGGGTTTATATACAAGAGAAAGGGCCTTACAAAATGGAATCATATCCGGTCCATTTACGTAAATGGGCTGGATTATGGGTCAATCATGTAATATCAAATTTTGATATTTGCCAAATGGCAGGAGTCCATTAGCTTCTTCTCAGAGGATGATGTGACAAACACGTGGAGCCCTGGTTGCCGCCATTAAAGTGCGACGTGTAGGACTAGGACCCTTTGCTACACGAGACGAGACCCTTCTAGCAAACCAAACACCAACGCAAGAGGCGAGAGGCGAAGGAGGGCATCGTTTACGAGAAGAAAAACCCTGACCTCTTCCCAACTCACCCGCCCCCCCGTCGACTGTTTTCACCCAACTTCTGAACTCCTCCTTCCTTCCACCTTCTGCTCTAACGCCGCGATCCAATGGTAAGTCTTTGCATCTCCCAACGATCTTTCTAGCGCAGATCCTTGAATGCGTCTTTTCTTCTTGTTGGGTTACTGGGTTTGTTTCTGAACTCACCTTTGAATGGTTTCTGAGGGTTTTGTTCTTGCACTCCACTCTGCCCGACTTGGGTTATCCATCGCGGTGGAAGTTGGGGTTCTCTAGTCTTGCCTTCCGTTCTCTGGGGTTTCCTCTTAGTCCTTTTATCTATCAAAATCATTGATTTATATTCTGTATTGTTTTGCAGGCTTTGCCGAACCAGCAGACGGTTGACTATCCCAGCTTCAAGCTCGTCATCGTCGGTGACGGAGGAACGGGTATTTTGTTTTCTCACTTTGATATTTTAATATGCTTTTTTCTAATTTGTCTCTTCTATTATTTCTTTGTCTCTACTGGTTTTGTGCCTTTTTGAGTTGTTCTTGGGTTCTGATCGTCCTGTTTGTTAGCTGTGATGGTTGCATGACCTGCCTACCGTTTTTTCGAATCCCGGTTATATTTGATTTTCTTCTTACTGCAATCGGTTTTGGTTCTGGTGTTATTAGCTTCCCTGATACTGGTTTCGACTGATCTGGAAGTGTTTGCATGATGCAGGAAAGACCACATTTGTGAAGAGGCATCTTACTGGCGAGTTTGAGAAGAAGTACGAACGTAAGTGGATCGTCAAGTTCTCATCTGTTATTTTTCGATTTAGTATTGTTTATACGCTTATTTTATTTATCTGTTTCTGATTCCTGACTCTCTCTCTCTCTCTCTTTTTGTTTTTTTTTTCGGAACATAGCGACTATTGGTGTGGAAGTTCATCCCTTGGACTTCTTTACAAACTGCGGAAAGATTAGGTTCTATTGCTGGGATACGGCTGGTCAGGAGAAATTCGGTGGGCTTAGAGATGGATACTAGTAAGCATTTGGTTCATTCGTATTCTTTTATTAGAACATATTATATGTTGGGTGTTCTATATTTTTCATCTCCAATTATACTGGTGTTGCTGCTTTTATTTTTTTAATATATCATAGATTCGAGTGAAACGCTTTGTTTGGGTTTGTCTTGGCATTGAGTTCTTAATTTTTTTTTTTTTAATATTAGGCGGAAACTAGTTGTCTACATGTGATGACTGCAGCTTAACCATGTCGGCAATTTATGATCCTAGGTTCTCATGTTTGTTGTTATTCTCTGACTAGTATTTGGATCAACATGGAAACCTCTGTCAGTTCAGACCTCTTTGAGCCAGATTTCCTTTCTCCACACGCTAGCAAGGGGAACGCCCTCTGGAGGTGTATTACACAGCAATCTTTTGGGGTGTATGATAGGGAAGAAATTCTAGCATTTTTCCTGACAAAATCCAAACCAGGTATCATCATTGACATAATTACAAAGAGAATGCCAATGTTGGTTGTTGACAACTGAAGCATTCAAATATCTATCATTTGAATCTATAATTGAGGTAGCTTTGCCACCCCTAGATACCCAGTGCTGCGAGAATGAGAGTCCCCTTCCCTAGGGATGACCAAGCTAAACGTCAATTGCTACTCTTTGGGTAATCCTGGGCTATCATGTATTGGAAGTGCATATAGAAATGGGCCTGATGAAGTTATCCTCATATTTTCAAGTGCAATTTACCATGGAAATTCCATTATAACTGAATTATCAGCTCTGATACAAGGCTGAAGTTGGGCTAGTTGAAGGCGTTTGTCAAGTGGTAATATGTTCTAACATATAAGTTAGGTACTATCTCAAATAGGAGTACAGAAAAGAAGACATCTTTTATGGAATCAAAATCTTCAGCATGTTGTAAGCTAAAAGAAGAAAAAAGAAAACCTTCAGCATGCAGGTTGAACTTGTTGATCAAAACACCAAGATAGCCAATATCTTAGGGTATAGCCTAGCAACAGGACTTAACAGCAAACTCCATATTTGGACCTTCCACCCTGCAATAACCTTGTACTATACTTATAGATTGTAATGTTGTATGAGTCTCAACCTATGGACTGTGGTTCCCACCCTTTAATTCTTTATGGATAACGGTACAGATTGTACTTGTCTTAACTTTTTTTCCCTTTCCCTCACTTGGATATCAATAAATTCACTGACCTCATTATCTCTAGTTTCAATTTTCTTTTCATAATACTCAGATGTTTAAATTTTTTGATTGTTATATAAAGCTGCAGTTACATAATTATCCTGATAACTCATTCCTTTTGATATTGATATGAAATCATCCTTTTGATAATTATACCATTTTTTTATAAATTGTGTGATTATATATTGTATCATGTATAACAGGGGAAAAGCTTCCCCTTTTGATGATTATATTTTGTTGAAGTTGGGACGCGGGTTGACCTCCCAACCCCATCTCCGAAGCGATGATTCCGCAGGTCAATTTACAAGTTATGCTGAGCCAGGGACATGTACCATATATATGTATCATGTAAGGTTTTTATATTAAAATTTGACAATTGAGAGGGTACCTTTCTCCAACTATCCCTATTTCTGTTTTGTTCTTTATCAAACATGATTGAAATCTTTCTTGGCTCTTATCTGACAAAAAATAGAAGCCCCCTTTACTTAGAAGTTTAGTTGGTTATGGTGTAGAAAAACCTACTTTCCCTTTTAAATTCAACAGAAATAGAAGGTGTAGGCAGATGTATTTTGACTTTAAGATCATCTTTGTCTCTCATGGAAGTGTTGAGATGATAAGATCAGATAACTAACATATTCTAGAAGAACAGCAGTTGTGAGATCTTACAGCATCTTTAATATCGGATGAGATTTGTGCTGAGATCTTACAATATCATTTGTGAGAGATCTTCTCAAGCTACTAATGAGATCTTACAATATCATCTGTGAGAGATCTTCTCAAGCTACTAATGAGATCTTACAATATCATCAGTGAGAGATCTTCTCAAACTACTACTGTTTTGTGTTTAACTCTGTAGGACTGGGAATTTTAAGCTGATTGGCTCCTCTCATGTTTCTTGACATTACAAGGGGTGGCATCTCTTGTGCTTGTGAAGTTTCTAGTGTAGGGGGATGGCCAGATTTCTGAAATTTGAACTCAAACAGATGAGACCTGTGTTGGCATTTAGCAATCAAATAAGCAATCCCAGTATTCCAGGACTCACATTGTAAATCCATAGCAGAAAACTGATGGACCCTCTAGATTGTCTATATGGTCGGTTGTCTACACCATGTAAGCTCCATACTGTACCATGCAATGCAATTGGCTTGTCTGACAATGGTGGTATTTTTTGTTTGTTCAAACTTAAATGTTGTTGTTTAATAAGTATTTATCAATTATGTGATAGAAGATTTGTTTTCATGGTAGCAATAGATTTTCTGCACTCAGATCTATATTGGACCTTTTTGGTCAATCTGAAATTGTTGTTCCAATAAGTCACTGGAATGCTGAATTAGGGCTGCAAATAAGTCGGATCAGATCCGACCCGAATCCGATACTGATCCGTTAAGAGGCGGATTTGGATATCCCTCCTGATCCTAGCAAATCAGGTCGGATCGGAAAAGCTGATCCATTAACTTGATGGGTCGAATTTGGATATTGGCCGATCCGATCCGCTATGACCCGATTCGATCTGTTAATTATGAAATATTATATATTTTATATTATTTACATATTATACATGTATATTCTATATATTATTTATATTATTATATTATATAAATAATATAATATATTATTTTATAAATATAATTCTAATTGAATTGGATATCCAATAATATATTCAAATTCGAATCATACCTTTGAAAATCCAACGGATCCTTATCAGATTCGGATCAGTCAAATTTTCTTAGCAGGTTGGATTGGATATTTCCTTACTGAATCCGATCCGATCCGTTTGCAGCCCTATGCTGAATAATGTTGTCTTCAAGAAAATTACTGACAAAAGCATTCCAACGAGGAAGCTTTTCTAAACTGAAATCTTGGTCTGAGTATCATGTTCCTTTCTGATTCACATAAATGCATTGATCTATCTCACTGGTGAAGGCTTCTGTGCTTTCTCTTTTTAAGTATGTTAAATATTTCTACTAAATTTAGTGTTTGCTTTGTGCAGCATCCATGGGCAATGTGCGATTATTATGTTTGATGTTACCGCTCGGTTGACGTACAAGAATGTTCCTACGTGGCACCGTGATCTCTGCCGGTATGCCTGAGAACTTATGGAGACATGTTTCCTATTCTTTTAGATGTTTATCTGTGATATTATGGTTTGACCATTATGTCTGAACCACAGTGTGTGTGAAAATATCCCCATTGTTCTGTGCGGAAACAAGGTCGATGTCAAGAACCGGCAAGTAAAGGCAAAACAAGTTACGTTCCACAGGAAGAAGAATCTCCAATATTATGAGATCTCAGCAAAGAGCAACTACAACTTTGAGAAGCCCTTCCTATATCTTGCCAGAAAGCTTGCAGGGTACTGGAATTATATATTTAGTTTGTATTAATCTTTTTCTTAAAGGATATGAGGAGATTGGGTGTTAAATATTGGTTTTTGTGGCACAGGGATCCTAATCTCCACTTTGTTGAGTCTCCAGCTCTTGCCCCTCCTGAAGTGCATATTGACCTGGCTGCACAGCAACAGTAAGATTTTTGGTCCTTTAGTTGTCTAATTTCATGTTCATGTCTTTCAACTTTTGATGAAAAATATCCAATGAATCGAAGATAATCTGGGGGTTTTTTCAACTATGAACTTGGGGCAAATTGTTCATTACCCAAGAAGCATGTTTTTGGTGCCTGTGCATCCAATGTTAGAACATCTATACTTTAAAATGGGCGCTTGTAAGACTTTAGACTTTATCATGTATTCAGCCATTATGATTTAGTTGGACTTTCTATGTTTTTTTTTTGGTGGGGGGTTGGGGGGGGAGGGTGGATTATACCTGAAGCGTGAGAAATGTTTAGTTTAGTATTTAAGGTTGCAATTCCCAAGTACATTTTTTTCCCTACATACTCTCGCATAGACAATATTGCTCAAAGAACATTGTTGCTCTTGTTGTCTTGACTGAAATCTTCTTGAACTTGTATTGTGTGTGTGTTTTTGGTTTTACAGGCACGAAGCTGAGCTCGCTGCTGCTGCTAGTCAGCCTCTCCCTGATGACGATGATGATGCATTCGAGTGAAAGGAGGATAGAGAGGCATCAAAGCTTTTGTTCTTCTCATTCTCTTTACCTTTGTTATGCATTATTCATGCCTAGGTTTCACAAGTTTTCTAGAATACATGAATGGGTTTGCTTAGGTGGTTTATATTCAAATGTCGAGGGTTATGGGATGAAATTATTTAGTTTTTAGAGCTGCTATTGGATCAATGGTTGTAGGTGATCGTAGAAGTTATTTTTTTTATTAGACGACCGGCTGCATGAATGATTAAGAAGTGTTACCATCTTTTTTAATATTTTGATTGTGATCCACGAATAGAGAGGCTGTTGCCCCCATTCTATGGAATTGACAGACTGGTTGTTATACCCCGTCGATTCAAATGATTTGCAGGGTTTTGGACTTTTGGATGGGTGGGTCATCAAAATATTCGTCTGATGACTGATTATCTGTGTTTCTATTATCTGGGATGGCAGTTTGGCTTCTGAATCCCGTTGAGTTAAATGGTATACATCTGGGTCACAACTCAACATTTAGGGGAATATTGCCAGGAAAGAAGATGGATTAGAATGTTACATTGAAGGAATGGGGTAGCTTTTAGCTTGTTCAGGGAAAAAAGCCATGACTGGACTGACTGATCAAAGAGTTGTATAAATTGTAAAGCATTGCAACCCGAAAATGAGAAACTTCGAGGCGTCTTACCCTCCGACTCTAAGATATTGAATTATTATTCTGTACAAGTCTGATAATGTTGGGCACTGGCAAACGCTTWAAGTGCATTCAAGGATGTCTAGATCAGCAAGCGGGAATCGGGATATGTCGTACAGATTCGATCCCAAGCCAACAGAGGACAGAGGCCAACTGTAATCTGTAATATTAATTTAAAGGAGTTTTAAAGGTAAAATCTTCTATCTTAATTTAACGGAAATTGACAAAGTGAATTTTCATAAACATAATAGTATTTATAGGTTAGGTGGTGCTTGAGCTGCAGCTAGCTTTGGCCCGTGAGATAGATCTGGGTGTTATATCAACTGGTACTCTGGTAGGAACTGAGGACCACCTTAGTTCATATCAGGGGCATACACAGTCAAATCTCTCCTCAACGATCAAGCATCATCTTCCACTTCCACATTATCATTTCCAATTTATGGGACGGGCTACAAACTACAAAGTAGAGATAAAAAATTCAAAATCATCTCACCAAGTGCTGCCTTCGTCAAAAAGATTCCACCTTTATGTTCAAGTACCCTTATATAATATGCCTTGGTTCTCACTTCTCAGCACAAATAGGCCTGAACACAGATTTGATACAGCCCAAGCCCATTCATACAGTCATATCCAAATGGCTAACGCTTTAGTAAATTTTGTATAATAATCACACAGGATCCAACATCAGTTACAATCACACAGGCAATGCAGGACGAGGGTGGGTTCATCCTCCCATCATCCAAAGAGAAATCATCAAAGCTGAAGGCAAACCATGCTGTGCCCATCAACAGTTATGACGCCCGAAATCAGAGCACTTCTAGCAGGCCTCAACAATGTAGCTGCATTATAATATGCATAATGATATTTTCTGATAGTACTAAGATAGTAAATTTTGTTAATGCTAGATGCAGGCCAACAGAATGGATTGAGCGACATATATTGCATGTAAGGGTCAGTTAGCTCTAAGTTCTAACAATGCTTCATCAAGCCATGTAACTTTCTTCCCGCCATGAATGAAGCTTTTTTTTTTTAACTTTATGATAACCCAAATCCCAAATTGCTCACCCTTATCCCTCATCTCACTTCAGCGGTTAAATCTATTATGATGTTATCCTTTATTTTCTTTACTCATATTCAGGCGTATGCATAGCTCTCCTACTAGTATTCATTTGTAATATTTACACTTCGATTCATTTTTCATATTCTTGGTTTGAGTTTCCAAACTTTTTTCTTCTTATATTTAACTTGGCCATGATTGAAGCATACTTCTTTCTAAATAAAATAGATCAGATTTTCAGTAATATGCTGTTACTGGCTTTACTGCTTTCTAACCAAATAAGAAGGAAAAAAAAAACAAGGATATCTGAGTATTTATGGGCACAAATTAATTTTTTAACAGGCTAGACTTGGCTTTGCAAAAAGTTAGTGGATCAGGTTTAGCTGCATTTTTTGACCTTGTGGTTTGAGTCCAGGCCTAATTTAAAGGCCCATTTAATAAATGGGTCAATTTGTACTTGGTTGCAACTTGCAAGGTGCAGTGCAACAGCAACATCCGTCTCACTGTGTCTGTGTGCACCATTTGACTTTTGAATATCACAAAGACCC